ATGCATACAGAAAAACCCACGGGGGTAGAGGGGGGCAAGCCTTCATGTTCATTTTATTTTAATTGTGTTATAATGAAGCTAGAGTTCAACTAGCAGACAGGTTTTAACAGTTTGCACATGTGTGAAGAACCAGTTAACACCAGTTAGGTCTTATCTCCTCTTCTTAGGAGTGTTTGGGCAGTTTATTTCTAGGGGATGAGCCTGGGCGGTTCCTGGGGAGGGGATGCAGGACTGGGTAGTCCCCCTTCAGGTTCACTTTTATTAACCCTTTTTTGCCTCATCATAATATTCCAAAGCAGTAACCAAGGAAAGAATCATATGCTCGGGGAACTGCAAAGTGAAACTGAGGAAGATGTGACATAATAGTGCAAATCGTGTCTAGCGTAAGGGAGTCTGGCCAAGGGTACAATGAGACTGAAATCGAATCTACTCTCAGCATCCACCTAGAGAGAAGACTTTTTTCTCATTTATGCAAAAGCAGTATGGTTTAGCACAGCTCTGTGTGTGGAAAACAAAAAGGGATTATACTAGGAGGGTGGAGCAAAGCAAGAATTAATTTATAAAAAGCTTCGTGAGACATATTAAGAAGTTTGACAAAGAAGTAAACACATTTTGTAAAATTGTTCCTATAAGGAGAATTTTTAAAGATAAACAAAGTCATCATGATTAGAATCATTAACTATCAGGAATATTTAGATACCCCAGATGGAGCTGACAAGGAAGTGAGCTGCTAGCCTCACGTGTCCATCTGAAATTCTGAGTAGGTGTGACATCAGCACTTGCAGTGTCATTTACATCACCTTAAGTGAACAATTTGCTTTCTCGTGCAGGCTATATTTTGGAGAGAAGATTGGGCTGTACTTCGCTTGGTTGGGATGGTATACTGGAATGCTGATTCCTGCAGCTCTGGTTGGCTTGTGTGTGTTCTTCTATGGAATATTTACAATGAATGCAAGTCAAGTAAGGTAAGCTATTAACTGACTTATTTAAAATGATTGAGCCTTTCTTCTGATTGGGCAAAAGCTTTATGATAATGCTGACTATAAAAAACCAAAAGATGGTACTACCATTTATTTGTTGGGTTTTTTTTTGTTTTTTTGATGGTGAGCAGCACTCTAAAAAAAGATAATTTCCCTACTTTTATATTCAAATTCTCTGGATCAGTTCCAAGATTGTTTCTCTTTATGCCAAATGTCTCATTCTAGTATACCCCATATAATAATTCAAGAATGCAATAGACGGTTTTTGTTTTGTTTTGTTTTGTTTTTAAAGATTTTTATTGGGGAATTGGGGGAAGGGGAACAGACAAGTTGCTGTCGTTTTGTTCTTCAGTCTAGTTGTGGAGGACGTTGCTTCACTGGNAATCTGGGAATATATATTTAGAAGGACTAAATCAAGTCCTAGGCTAACTATAAATACTTACAGAAGGAAAGAAAAAAAGTGCATTCATATCATAAGGTTATAAAAGTTGATATTTTAAATTGTTTGTGAAATAGAAATATCAAGATCCACTCATGACTGTATCTGCCATTGTCCCAGCGGGGAACTGATAGAACTGGTAGACTAGAAGGCGTATTTGAAGAGAATTTCATAAAAGAATTATATACATAAGTGTAAATAGGATCCAGTAAACGAGCAAATGATGTGACACCTCCAGGACTAGTAGAAACCAGATGCTGTTATGTAACTTAGGCCTGAGGGAACAAGGGAAGAAAGCAGTGGGCAGAATCTGTCAAAAGCTGTAACCATAGAAGGGGAGGGAGGCGCCTAACAGAAGCTATGGCCTTAGGAAGAAAGCAGCTACAGCCAAACCATAACCCAAGAAGGAGAAAGTCAGGGCAATAACTACCCCAACACCTCTCTTATCCCACCCTGTGATCCCTAGCTGGCTCCTTCAGTTGGCCGATGAGCCCTTCAGGAAGCCAGAGGAAGGAGGGAGCATAGGTGATACAGTCCATAGAGGCGAGCCTCCTGGGGCACATAGCAGAAGCAAAAGGGTAGAGCGTGGATTTGGATGCCCAAAGCATAACATCCAGCACCAAACCATTTTTTTTATTTCAAACGTTAAATACTTGAGTATATGCAAAGTCAAGATGCTTTGATTCTAATTCTGTCAGTCACAACAAAGTAGCAGATTTTCATTTGTGCAGGTGAAAGAAATATTATTTGAGAGCTATACAAACACAGTGAGATGTGCTAGTGCCTGAAGGCAAATATGATCATGAATATATCAGAAATTAAAAAATGAAGTTGGGGTTTTCAAGCAAGCAGTTCAGCATCTATAATCTCTTATCTATAGGAGACATTGCTATTCTTACTGAGATAATGTCAATGAGCCATCTTTATTTTCAATAAATAAGGTTATTCAGCGGCTAGTGCCAATTCTTTGGCTGTTGATATAGAAGGGAAATCTTGCGTATGAAAATCATATATGTCGCGCTCAAGTGGCTAAGGGGCGAGGGATGTAGTAAAGGGCTCACATAAGATCAAGGCCATGAAAGAGTACAGATGGTGTTTCAGCAGGCTTCTGTTCCCTGGGCAATTCCTTGTCACCAAAGTGGAAGTGGCGATGAGGCAGACACTCACCCTAAACTATACAATCTTGTGCATAAAATTTTGTGTAAGGCCTAGTTTTGTACAACCAGCAGGAAAATTACTTTAAAATCTGTGACTTTTTAAAATTATTTGAACAACAATAAAGTTGTTCTTAAGACTACACAATTTTGAGGACATGGGTATCATTGTGTTGCTTCCTATCTGTAGTGAGAGAAAGAAGGGATTTATGAGTTGGGTTTCTTCTATGCGTTGGTCATGGACGATGGATACCCTAATAGACCTGCAGACAAGGCCTGTATTCTCTCTTGCTGAAACGGGAACGGGCAGCTTATTAACAGTGGATGGAAGGCAAGGGGCTGTCAGTTCTTTTCTCTTTTTATAGACAACCATTTCTGGACATGTGGTTGTATTTTTCTTTTCCATTTTAAGAATGAATTGAAACATTTACTAGCCAAAACCTATCTTAGATTCAGTCTTTTCTCAAATGGAAAATATTTGAATCTGAAAAGAGCACGTGGTAAAAATTGTCAGCTCTAAAACCTGCTTAACAAAATAGTTGTGTGGCGTTTGTTAGAATGTTTCACCATAGGCATCAGAGGGATTCAGATTTAAAAACTAAATGTAATAATACTCTCAAACAGTTCAGTTCATCATTTCTGTATTTATTATGATAGAGGTTATTTGAGCAGCAGAATCCTATCATCAAATGAAATGCCACATAGGGTACCAATATAGAAAACAGAATAAGAAAAGAATGTCTATGGGTGAAAAATGATGGGAAGTGACACAAATAGCCACCCCTTGCTATTTCCTCCTTGTGTTGTCATGGTTTTTGAGGTACCTATAAGGAACACTTAGACATCCTAGAGGATTATGAATACTAAGGCTCTAGGTCAAGGGCATTTTCTTGTGTGTGTGTGTGTGTGTGTGTGTGTGTGTGTGTGTGTGTGTGTGTGGTAGATGAAGGGCATTTTCATCAGCCTTCTTTGCCTGAAATGATCTCATTCCGCTCCTGAAACAGATCTGAAATCTACCATAACTTAGGTGATTACTCTCCCATCAAATAACGTTGTTGCTGCTCTTAACCTTCAACAATGTGTAATTAAAAATCTTGGTATAATACTGTCTGTATAAGGCGTCTCACTGTGCAGTCCTCTTTAATCATTATTATAAAGATATTTCTATATATTAGTAATGTGTGCTAAAAACCCTATTCTAACACACAGAGCAACATGTATTTAAAGGAACAAAGTTTTTCTTGAAATACCTGTTAATATACTAAGCTTCTGTCTCAAAATAGATCATTATTATATACAAAATGAATAAACTATTGATCCATATCACATAGGTGAAATAAATAAAATCTTACATAAATGATGCTTAATGGAGGATGACTCCATGTCTACACCTGGTAGAATGTAAACAAATTTTAGTTGGCTCAATACAAAGAAGAAACTAGGAAAAATTATTTTTAGAACTAGAAGTCCTATTAAGGAAAAAATAACAAGAGAATTTTCTTCCCAGCAAGAATCACTGCCCAATGCAATATTTCCAAATGAACTGCAAAACACTAATCTCTAAAACTCTTGTTGGGACAAAACTGTGTATTAATCGGTTTTAGAAGATTTAGAAGATGGAGACCAAACCGTAGTCGAGAATTCAAGAAATCATTTCTTACCAGAGCTTTATAAATTGCGTGACAGTTAATATTGACAGTAGACTTGGTGAGGCAAGAGTGACTGAGCAGTCATTACAACTGCTTTATTCATCTGCCATTTCCATATCAACCATATTCATCAGCTGAAGGGAAATAAAATATGTTCCTTTCCTTGGCTTCATTTAATACTTCCTGTGGTGAGAGCCAGTGAAACAAGACAGAGGTCCACTTTCCAGCAGTGTGCGGTCTTAGGGAACAGAAGGTAAATGGAGGGGTGATGGGTAATTGCCATAAAAGTGTTGTAAATGTAGGGCATTGAAATGCACCGTGCGGGCAGCATGGGGGCAGGAGCAGGGGCATCTGACCCAGGACTGGAGTGGAAGTCAGGAAAGTCTTCCCGGAAGAAGTGATATGAAGCGAAGGGCTAGTACAAGCCAGACAGGGGAAGAAGGTGAAATGTAATACGTTGTGTCGTTGGAATTAACTCCTGGTCGTTTGCAAAAGACGAAAAAATTCACAGACTCAGCCTGAAATGAGGAGAGCTAGGAAGGAAGTTTATTCAAGAAGAAAGATGCCGTTATAGAAGTTACCAGAGCAGACAACTGCGCCTAACTTAGGTTAGCTTTTTCTTGTATAAGAAAGAGTAGGTAAATTTCCTTACCATAGGAGATATGATGTATAGACTGAGGTCATTTGACTGACATATGTTGGTTATATAACTAGTTATTTTCTGTTCATGCTCTTACCCAGAATGCATACAGAAAAACCCACGGGGGTAGAGGGGGGCAAGCCTTCATGTTCATTTTATTTTAATTGTGTTATAATGAAGCTAGAGTTCAACTAGCA